CATTCCCGTCGTTATTCAGTATCAGGAACATATCTAATCAAATCCCCAGAAATTTATTTATGAATAATGTTTGTTTCAGTTTAATGCTTCGTTTCGTCGACAATACCTTCGATCCAGAAATAGCTGCAACAATTGGTTCGTATTCATTTAGTATTCATGTCATCTCATTTCACCCGGCGATCTCACACTGCCTTCTTTATGTTTTCATTATTAATGTGTCGTTTCATTGATCAGTTATGAAATGAGTACATGATTTATCAATAATAACTATATTTTCAGGTGTTGATTTTCGTGTTACATCAATGACAGTTGATGGAAATCGTGTAAAACTTGCAATTTGGGTCAGTTTCTCAATTGATTCATAATGAATTTTACTCACTCTATATCCTCATCGATACAATTCTCTTATTAAACTATTGGACAGCTGAAACTATTGAAAAGTTTCATAAATCGTGCTTGCAGGATACGGCTGGTCAGGAGCGTTTCAGAACCTTAACACCAAGCTATTATAGAGGAGCACAGGGGGTTATTTGTGGTCAGTTGTTGATTTGGTTTGGTCTTGATTTTACTGTAAAAGCATTCGAAGTGATATGATCGTGTTTATGGCAGAATGCTGTAACGTTAATCATTAAATGATGATGATGATGTCTAGTTCAGTATACGATGTAACAAGTAGGTCATCGTTCGAACGATTGGATCACTGGATGAATGAACTGGATACGTATTCAACCAAAAATAATGTTATCAAAATGCTTGTGGCGAACAAAATTGATAAGGTTTCTATTTTATTTCTTCACTCATTCAGCATTTCTTGTTGTTGTTGCGCAGTGTCCTTGATTCGAAACAGTGATATCTTTCAATGAAGACGAACCGTGTGGTAACGCGTGAAGAAGGTCTTGAATTCGCGAAACGACATCGAATGCTTTTTATCGAAGCAAGTGCAAAGACGCGTGAAGGTGTGCAGTGTGCTTTTGAAGAACTCATTGAAAAGGTTTGTGTTTGGTTATGAGTCGAACAACNAACAACTAGTATTCGTTTATTGAATGTAAATATCAGAGAGGACCAATGACATTGTTGTGCAACTGTTGCAACTGTTTGATTGATCCTGTTTTAGGATACTGATTTATACGTTAGTTCCTTCATTCACTTGTGATTACTTATCTATTCAAGGTGAATATAAAATTATTGCAGATAATTCAAACGCCAGGCTTATGGGAAAGCGATAGGTCAGGCTTTGCGTTGGGTAATGCGACCAACGATAATGCGGCCTGGGGAAACTGTGGTTGTTGATGAATTCTACAATGTCAATAAATGATTTCATCATTAGAATTTACCCTTTGTATTCATTCGTCATTTTTGTTCAATTTTCAGTCATTCCTTGCGATTTAGATTTATTTAGTGTTATAAAAGTCAAATATTGTATCAATCAATTCATCGAAAATTTCTATTGTATATTCCTATTCTCATATGTTGAACAAAAAGCGCCTTTCAGAAGTTCGTTTATCGTAGCTGAAAATCATACGTCAGTCAGACATTATCAAATGACTGAACGATTCTTGTACAATGTCATTCAGTGCACTTCTCAAAAGTTATTCACATTAATGAATGCGAAATGATGTAAAGTAGCCAAAAAGTTCTGTCATCATAAACTCATCGTAACCGTCAAAATAACGAATTATTTATCGCATAGCTCCAAGTTCTTTTGATATGTTCATCTGATAGTCATCATTGTATAATGGCTTTGTTTATATGTTGAACTAAGTGACAACACGTCACACAAAAACCATACATATGGAATGTTTTTCATCTTATCAATATGAATGATTATTCTGAAGAAAAATTTTATTGTCAACCAACGGTTGCCATTTCAGTATATCTGTGCATACGTAATTCATATTTTTACCGAACAATCTGTTGCAGTTTTTATAATATTCCACGAAAACGTAAGTGTACATTCAGTGTGTATATCTAAAGATAAATCTCGGAATAAACGTATCATTTATTAATTGAAATTACAACTTTATTCCACTGAAATGATGTATTTCATCGCAATTCATCAACAACAGCTTATTATTAAACGGCTGGCTTACAATTCCTAAATTTCATTTCCAGTGGGCATTTGAAATTACAAGGTAAGCGGCACTCGGTCAAACATCGAAACTGTTCGAGAATATTCTTCATTTCTGGAATTGTCCGGTGACGAAATCACTTCTAAATTCTGATGTTTCCCATGGATTCCGATAATAAAGTTATTTTCACAACGCAAATTAATCGTAGTCTTTCTCTAATCCAGTGATATAATAACACTATTTGCACCGATATACAATTAACACAACAAAAATAATAAACAACTTTAATACGTGACAGCAATAAAACATGACGAAACAACTGTTTTTGGAAACCTCTAAAACATAAATCTGCAAAAAGATTAACGCAAAATTATCTCATTCAAACAGCGTACAGCATAAAATAAAACTAATGCACCATCAATCACTATTTCCACTGCCTTGTGACAATTCATTTTCGACCTGTTCACGTTCCTTTGCACTCGGTAAACGGATTAAATGCGTTGACGGGTGTCCATCACTCACGCAACTCACCTGGAACAACAACTGTTTATTTTCAATTTTCAAAATCAATGACTGATTCAGTTATTTGGAGGAAAAAGCACTCCTGTTTGAAATTATACTCGAATGTTCAATCTATCTTCAATGTTACAAACGAATCATTTTCTCTCGCATTTATCATTAGGACAAATTTTCACGATGAACAAATCAAATGTTTTCTTT